AGAAAATATAGTTAGTATTAGTAAATTCCTCTTAATATTATTATTATGCATCAAATTTTTGAGTCATACTTTTGAACATCTTCCAGATCTAATATGCAATGGATGTTAGAAAAAAGGATCTCTAGGGTGGGTGTCATACTCAAACGTCTTTTTGCTTTACTATTGGTAGGTCCATCACCACTGGCAAGTTCATTGGTAGTAATAGGTTCATCACTGATAGTAATAGGTTCATTGTTATTAATAAATCCATCATCGACAGGTTCACCATCATCAGCAAGTTCACTGTCTTCTGCATCGTTTGCACCTTCATTGCTCAGCTTAAAGAATTTACTCTTATCGATAGGTAGTGGCTCCTCATTGTACACTGCATGCTGCATCTGGAGCCCGACTTCTACCATTTGAGTTGCGGATTGGTATGATGCCTTACGGCATTGTAAACGAAATACCTCCTAAAATAATATGATAGTTGTAGATACATACAAACGAAAACAATATAATAACTCATAAGTATAAGAAGACAAACGTACCCGAGCTGCTTCCTCCTCTGTCATTTTCTTATTCAACTCTTCTTTTCTTTGTCTTCGAACTTTTTCTTCATCTATTTCTTTTATAAACTCTTTTTTCCTTGACTTGACCTGCACAGTACAATGGCGGATCAGAATATAGATACAGATTTCGTAGAGTACCGAAATTTACAAATACGCCATTCATCCAAGTTACATGCGAAATTACAAACGGTGAGGAATATCATAATTCCGCCCCTGCGTAACTATTTTCACTAGCGCGTTGCGAAAAGTGTCATATGCACGACGATCGAGTTTGTCCTCCTTCAGTTGCGCAATGTACTGAGCGAAATTTTTCCAATCTGCAAGTTTTGTTTCTGAAAACCAGGGCAAGATATTCTGTCCAGCAGTGGCACAGAGTAAGTAGCATATGATCGGGATGTTAAGCCTTACCATGTGGAGTTAAACGTTAAGCAGGAAATCAATAATATGAGATTTATATTACGACGCGCCGTTGGCAAAAAAGTAACGCATATCCAATGAGTGATTGTGTCACATGAAGATCTTTGTGCTATACATTCCCTCGTGGGATTATGTAAAGATAAAATATTGTGCTGTGTACCATTGAGCGCGGCAAGCACAGCAGCAACTCTAAAATTACTGATAATTGTAGAACCAACCCAACTATTAATAGCCTTAGTAGACAAAAAATGAATTAAAATCACAATTACCGCTGGAAAAAGAGGGTAACGACAATGTCCTCGTCAGAAAAAGTCAAAACATACAAAGCGATAGATGGTCTACAAGCTTTGCATACAAAGCATGAAATGCTTCCGTTGTTCCAAAGTAAATCCATTGATGCATCTGAAAGTCAGCCAGACATGAGGCCGTAAATCCATTCACACACACTTTCGGAAAACGATGGCCCTACATTCTTTGCTATTTTTATCACAATATTCGTATCTACAATACGTAAATGATTATCATTCGTGCTGATGATGTATCGAATTAACAGTAGCCGTCTTTTGTTTTAGGTTTAGTTTAAAATAACCTTCTTTTATCATTTGTCACATGTGTGTTTGAACACCCATATCATCCCCTTGCGCAATATAACGATTGGCCCAGGTACAATCTTCAAATTCTCCGTGCTTTTTAACGAGTATCGTAACACGTAAATTCTCCAATGACAATACTTGTCACTTCCCAACGCACGAGTACAATAATTCAGAAAAACTATCCTGGAACGAATAATTCTGAAGGTGCAATTAATATCTAATTAAAATGTGTCTACTGACATGCTGTAATTGAGAGACTTTCCTGTCGGGAAGGTATAATAGACATTGATAATCATTCTCGTAGATGTATAGATTTTTACACTTTTCCTTGCGATTTTAAGACGCGATGGTATACCAAAAGCATTTGGGCTATCTCTTATATTTGACGTGTTACGTACAGTTTCGTTATCATGATAAAGCTATTAAAAATCAGTCATTGACTCAGTTGAATGTTCAAACGAAATTTTAAGTCGCCAATTGCCTTCACTCTCACACGTTATCAAACTTTTGCAAATTTGACGTCATCTTCAAAACCTCTCTCTCACATTTATTTTCTTTATTCTATAATGCCATGTCTCTTTAAAAACTTATTAAGCAATAAAAAAGTCCTTTGCTTATAGCGATTTTGTCCTCTCTGACATGAACTAATTGTCTCTTCGGTTCTTAAAATTAGTTTTCATTAGTTCTACTATCCCCTTGTACACGCTTAGCAACATCGTACATAAAGGTGACGAGCTTCTCTGTTGGCTGTATGTGAAAGAATAAATAAGTTATATAAGCATCTATCAGTACCCGGGTATGTAATATACTCGATGGAAACGATAAAAAGATTGCTTGCTAAAATCAAAGTACTTACCCAGTCAGCATATTTGTTTAGATTTTCTTCTGTCACCTTCTGATCGTTGGCCACCTTATCAACCCGGTCGATTTTTTCGAAAAGCTCTTTGAGCTCATTTTTTCGTTTTGTACAATGGCGGCAGCCTTTCCCCCGCGTTTTGGGCCTATTCCCAGTAGGGTTGATCGTTCTTGGTGTCTTCTTTTTGCGAGAGGGTTTCATATCGGATGTACTTTTGTGTGTGCTTGGTGCGTGATTGTGTGCGTTGTGTGTTTGTTAATGTGTGTGGTTGTGTGTTGCGTCTTCTCTTCTTTTTTAACTTGTCTGGTAGTTGAATTAGGTCCTTTATATATGAGAGATTCGTAGACGCCTGATAAGGTTTGTGTGCATTACCAAAGTAAGGCATTTATACAACTATAGTTTTCCCCATAAGTAACAAAGACTACTCCGATCATGCTGACACCCATACATTTCCCAGTACATTCAAGTTATTATATCTCTCCCATCTGATTGCTGATGCTCCTCTGTATATTAGTGCCATAACATAACATTGTGCGGCATTCAAAGAGAACGAAAGCAGATTCTAACGTACTGCGCATGAAAAGCTATATTGTCTAAAATGGGTTACTATGCCGTACCATCTGAGACCCTCATTGCCGGATCACTTATTTGTGAACCCCATTGACAGCAAAAGACAAAGAAAACGTCTATTTAGGTTTAATTGTTTCTGAGGTATGGCCACACAGACCCATCTCGATTCTAATCTGACTCGGCAATTGCGTCATATGACAGCTACTAGCAACCATCCTGAGCATATTTGGTAAAATATTTCGGACTTAATGCATGAACTCGGTAAAAATAGCTTTGTTGCGTTGCGCCTCCACAAGGGTAGCAGGAGCTGTTTGATCGATCTATTCATTTATTATATTCATTGTGAATTGTGTTTTTCAGAACACCTTTATTCTATAAAATTGGGGCTTTATCGTGATGAAATTAAGGGTTGCATATTAATATTAATATTAATGTTATAATTGAGATAATGTTTTATTAAAATAACAAGTATTGTAAAGACGCCCGACAGTATTGCGTTTGTAATATGATAATTACAATTTGTGTGATGATGATGCATGTCGATTGTTGATGATTATGCCTCTAAACTAATACGGCAAGATTTGACATCCGATCTTTTACCATTTGCTGAAATGTTAATATGACAAGCTACGCAAGATATTTGAGTTATAATGAGTGTATTAGTCGATATATACTGGTGGCTTAATGCCTGTCTAATCTGCTGTAGAACATGGTTATTGTTAAGCAGACAATAAAGAGTCTAACAGTCCATTGGAGGTAAGTTGAATACGCACTTGATA